CAGGTCCATGGTTCCTCCAAACTGACATGCAAGAAGTGTGAAGCCCATGAGAAGAAAAAGTTTCCTGAATTTCAACAAGAACTGATCAGCTTCCTGCAATCTCTGCTCAAATAAGTTTTATAACCATTTTTATTTTTACTGCTACATTATTTATTGAAGTATTTAATGATAACTAATTTATGTATTCTGCCCTGTGGCATACCACGAGCTTGTCCATTTTGGGACCACTGAATGTTCTTAATGTGGGTTATTAAGAGAGTCTGTTTTAAGATCACAATTGATCCTTTCCGTAAGCCCTAAGGGCTCACAATATTCTTTGGAAAACTCATTCATTGTCACTTTGTCAACAAACTGAGACAACTATTTATTGAAAAAGCTACTAAAAGTTACTTGTAGATTATATTTAATAAATTTTATGGACATATAAAAATCACGTCTAGAGTCTTCTTTGTTAGATAATACTATATTTTTTACTGGTGACTTTAATAGTATTTTTTTAAACACATGAAAAAAAATGTTTTTGAATGAAGCATTCAGCAGCATTCAAGTGCATAGGCACCTGACTCAAAGCAAGACACCTGCAAATAACCTTTTTAAAGCAACAAAAAATATAAGTTTATGCTGGCATACAGCACAAGGTATAGAATATTAGCAACAAACTGCTTCCCCCMAAAAAAGAAACCCAAACTCTTCTTTTCTGAGCTGTACTACTTGGCTACACCAGGTTTTCGAAGGACATATTCTTCTCATTAGTGTAAGCAAAAGATGGTAGTTCTCAGAATTCTTCAGAAACAGGAAAACACAAAAACAGTARCACACCTGAAATAGTAACTATGCAGGTAACTGAGGGCCCAGAACAACTGACATAAAATTGATCRTTAATGTATAAATCCGCATGAACACATACTGCATTGTCCAAAATATTTCTGTGGAACTTTAGAAACATCCTTACTTCAAATGAAGATGGAATCAGTTAGATGACACTGTAATTTTATGCAGGAAAAAACAATGTAAGAGCATCTTTTACAACACAAAAGCCAAGTCAAGCCGGCTAACAAGGCCAGCTATAACTGATGAAATTGAGCCTACTACAGCAGCTATCAGTTATCTTTTAGTCTTTGATGTGTTTTCCTGGTGGGTGTGGTAKGGACTTACTTCACCTTGCACTTAAAACCAGACTAAAAATGGAAAAAACAGCAGTTTCCTAGCATGCTGCRAAGAGAAAAGGCATTAATGACAGCTTTCTGCCAAAACTGGGGAAATACTCACAGCACCGGCGTCTGTTTCTCTACTCCTCTTCCCACAGTGAAGGAGTGCGGTCCCCACCCACAAGGGCTCAAGAAAGCAAATACTGTCACTCACTTCAGCCACAAACAGATAAGCTCCACCCTCCCCTCAAACCAGATGACAGTAATAACAAAGATACCYGAACACAGTAGGACACTGAAGATGAGAAAGCCAGCAAGAAACTTCCGCATAAAAATTCTTTCGACCTTGCCACTCYTTGTAGAAAAATCCTTCTCTTTGCATAGATTCCTTCTTGATAAATTCTTAAAAGCAGCATGCAAACCTGTTCCAGTACCAGCTCAGCCATCTGCTTGCAGTGCTGCTCCAGATCTCAGCAACCAGAGAATGAAGTTTTCAATGCATTGAAAACTTCAACTTCACAGTTCTGCTAATAAATGAGGGTTCCTTTATTATTTTCTTAAGCACAAAAAGCYTCAACTTTGACAATTTGGTAAAATCTATCCTGGGGTCTATCCACGCAGTTGGACATCTCATGAAGAATAACTTCAGATATTCTCTAAGTCCCTCAACAGTAATTATTAGTTAGGATAAGAACAATCAAACAATTTAAACAAGAAAGGATGGTAAAGAGATACTCACCCACACATTCATAAGGAAAAGCAGAAACTGGAGCTCACTAACCACTTCAAAAATGCAAGCAATGTAACATACTCTTTTTTTTGGCATTTAGTTTGCACAAATTTTKGAGCAACAACATACTGATACAGATGGGGGTGTACAGTCATGTAAGAGGAGGCTTTGACCATCCTGGCTCTAGTTTTGGGGATTGCCAAATCACTTTTGCACAGTAGCCACATTCTACTGTAGATTTTCAAAATACTTTCAGGCTGGCTTGCTCCCCAAATAGTACTTCCAACAAGCACTTCAAGGCATCCTTTTAAAGAAATCCTTGTACAAAGACTGCTGATACACACAGGTAGCTGAGGCGTGAGGAAGATGCTTGTGTTACATATGGATGCAGTCATTTATGTCTGTCAAATTTACATCKACTTACAGGTAGGTTCACATTCTTAAACACTATCTGCAGGACAGGCTCCTGTATTTGCCCAAGCCTTAAAAGATGTCTTCAAAGAAAACAGATGCTGTTGAAACCATCTGAAAATGCCTAGCAAGGCAAACCTTACTATACATATGTTCTCCCTTTGAATTGTAAAAAAAATGCAGAACCCCTTAAAACACTTATAAAAATTAACTGCCGAAGCTGCCTTTTCCTSCTTGATTGCACAGCTCTAGTATCAAATTAGGATGTAGGACATGTCATGACATGCATGCGACATAACAGACGTGTAGAGATAGGTGACATTTATGACATGTGACAGTAAGAAGTGTRAGATGTGGTGTGACAAGATACAATGTGTGACATTATTCAGTGGATTACTCCTGCCTCAAGCAAAAGCAAAACTGTCTGTAGGAGTGATTTTGTCCAAAATTCCAGGGGCACTTGGTGAGTAATGCAAACAAATGGGGAAACACACSTTTGTACCTCAAAGGGATTCGATTTTTGGGTGAGAACAGKCTATAATGCTGACTGGTAAAATACTGTATGTATTGTGTGTAGACCCACGACAGAACTCACAGTGATAGACTAAAGGAACTCAGCTGACATCGTGGAAGGACAGCCACTGACTGCAGAAATGATACCTGTGCTTACATGTAAGGATGAATCATGTCCTGATTCCAGCCAGGACAGCATTTTTTTGCAGTTGGCAGAAGAGGACATGGCCAAGACATGGAGTTATTCTCTACCACCTCACATTATTACCAGGGATGGAGTAAAGAGACTCCACTTCTGTGAGAGAAGATGGTGGAGGGAGCTGTCCACTATTGTCTATTACTGGGCATTCTTTTACCCCATGTGAACTATTGCTGTTTCCAGTAAATTGTTCATATCTCAGCCCCATGACCTTTGCCTTTCTGCCTCCAATTCTCCTCTCCATCCTACTGCAGAAGGGAGAGGGAAGGGGAAACAGGAGAGTGAGTGAAAGGAACCTGTGGTTTGGAGAGTCTCGGTAGGGGCACTGAATTGGGAAGTACCATTCCTWAAGGTMACCKTGTGTCACTMCACMTGTGTGAGTGAGGTATAGGTGCACGAAGTGGAAAGAACACTCCCACACACCACCCCACCTTTCCCCATATCCATGTGGACATCCATTCTGCCCCCTGGAGCTCAGTTCTTCTCAAGCAGGGAGGGGAGAGGCTGAGCTCAGCCACAGGCTGCTGCTCACATTGCCKGTGTGTGCTCCATGCCACAGCAGTATGATGCACAGCTGTTCTGTGTGCATGGACCTGGTGGGAACACACCTTCAGCCTCAGCACTGGAACTGCAGCACTCTTGCCTCTCTCAAGCTTGTAGGATCATACATTTTGGAATTACTGAAGCAGCCGAGGAAAAATCTGGATATAACACCTACACGCTTCCATTTACAAGCTTAATGCATTCTGCATCTACTGTTACTCAAAGAATAAGAATGGCTCTACACTGGTACCATCCAAGTAATTTGTTGAGGACACAGCAACCATTTCCAGCATACCTCATCTTTTTCACTAAGAAACCTCCCCCTTCCACAGGCAGCACCTAAGTTCCACAGAGATTTGAGTTTGCTGTTCAATTAATAAAATGGCTGAAGTACACAAAAAAAAAAAAGCTCAGTACTAGTACATATTTAAAGCTTCTGGGCTTAACTACAGGAAAGACCTTGGTGCTGATAKCTCAGCAAAAGTCTAAGTCCATACAGAAAGGAGCCCAAAGGTGCACAAAATGCCATGCCACACCTGTTATGTGTATGCCACATTTGACATGTATGTCACACTTTCCAGCATGTGTAGGTAAGTAGGTATAGCTAAGACACYGGCAGGGACATTAAGTGAACTTTTAACAACCCATGAAAGAGGCAACACTGTGCTCTAGCCTGGAATACGATGGCCATTCCCAAGCATTTCTTGGAAAACATTACATGGAACAAGGAGCTTGTGGAGATCGTGCCACAAAAAAACAAACACCACCACAGAACCCCCCAAAGTTAAGGGACAGTAACAGAAAACAAGAAAAGGTCAAGGGCCAAGTAGTAACAAGTCAGCAACTGTGTTTCAACAACTTGTAAATCAGTGTAAGATCCCCACAGAAGACTCCAGTTATATTAGCTAGAAAAGCAGGTAAAGAAAATAKCAGGAGGACTTTGTTTTAGAATCCTCTAACACTAAGAAGGTGAAACATGGCTACAGCACTACATCCACTATTCCTGATGTATGAGAATGCTGTGTAACTTCCCACCCTTGCATGATTTACCRAAATCAAGGAACATAACCCAAGTGTGCTGTCTAGCTTGAACACACCAGTGTCACACAGCACCACACAAACTCCAAGCATGGCACTTAACATCTTCCCAATGCTATCATGTTCTTCTTACCACAACTTAAAGGAAGCAAACTCCCTCGTGACAGGCACCATTTTTCAGGTGACTGTGTATGCAGACAATTTCACAAGCACTTGGCAGCGCAGTGATGAAGTCACTTCATCCCAGTGAAGTGATGAAGGACGCAGGAGTCCAACTTATCCATAACATGTTAATCTTGTGGATGATGTCTTCATCCAAAACAGATGAAGAAACCTTGTTTCTGGTGACTTCTGTTCTACATCGCATTATTTTTTTATTTATAGTTTTGACCCCTGCATAATGCTTTAAACCCACTACCAGAAGTAATAATTGTCACAAAACAGTTGAGTAATAGCTGCTCATTCTGAGTGCCAYACTTGGAAGTACACAAATTATTTTTTAACTCTTCTAGCACAAACAACATACAACATAAACTACAAWCCACTTAGCAAATCCACACTAAACAAAACTCTCAACAAAGGATTGATGCTACAGATAAAGCACAGATTGTCCATTATTTTTTTCTGAAACACTCTCACATTGGTATGCTTTTTGTTAAAGAAATCCACCTTTTACTGATTTTGTTTTTCTTTCCTCAAGTTATGAAAAAGGCTGGAAAAAGAAGAAATCAACACACAGAAATCCTGAAACTATCAGGAAAACAACGTGTAACTTGATGGGGAGGGGATTCGTAGGAGGGGGGTGAGGGACCTGAAATGAGGGCAAAGCAGAACAGATTTACAAAACTGTTGGACACTGCTACTTAAGAGAAAACACCCATTTTGGGTAAAGATTGAACTGTTACAGGTGGTTTAATAACTGCATTTAAACTATCAACAAATTGTCTGGAATTGTCTTCTTCCTGTAACTATGAACTTAAAGTTGAACATTTTACTAATCAGAATTCATATTTACTGAAAAAGATCATCCAAACTGATTTCACGTAGAATCCACCTCAGTCACTGAACTGTTCAATATGGGGAGACTTCACAATCCATGATCCRTAACTGTGTTCATCTAAGTAGCTCTGCAGCAAGCTTTTAGCCTCTTGGTACAACTGAGATTTAACCTAAAAAAAGAAAAAAAAGTAGACCCTGAAAAATCTCAAGAACAACGGTTACAGAGATGTGTGCTCTTTACCACTAACACGACAAACATTGTTAAAACAACACCTATAAATCTTACAGTTCCCTCAGTTACTGACAATGAGTTTTAGAATTTAAAACCTATTCCTTTTATGTATTTGTGATTTTTTGGGATGAGAAAATTGATTATTCTGGGTTTTTCAGTGTTTTCAGTTCTAGTAGTATATTTATACAGAAAATAAACATTCATTATCATTCAATGCAAACTAAACACATGAACAGTCAAGTAACAACYGACTTCATTTTAAAGTACTTTCTGAATCATTTAAAAAAATTCTCTCTTCCATGTTTTGACAGGAGGGAAAAACAAGAGATGCTTACTTTATATAGGCTGTTCMGGTGAACTCTTCAGCAAAACAGAAAATCACCCCTGGTTATCAAAGTAGGTTTGACAGAGCTACTAAGAGACTTCTTACTCCAACTCTCCCTCCCTGTGTCAGCTYACCTTTGCCTCATGGTATGTTCCAAACTGGAGCAAATCACTCCGTTCTGCTTCCCTGGCGAGCATCCTGAACCGGCTGAACATGGCGGCCTTGCACAGGCGACTGGCCAGGCACGTGCCACTCTGGAACGGGGAGCTGCAGTCGGAGCAGGGAAAYAGGAATGGAACTTAGGAACAAACACACTACAGGGACATTGCATCCATCATTACAGGGGCTCTTCCTCCCTCCTAACACTTTGTGAATGCCATCACACCAGAATCCATCTCAATTAGAATCCAGTTAGTTTTATGCATTGTGAAAGCCAAAACTTCATTACTAAAGACAATGGAGTACAGATATTTTCATTTGAAGAATTATTTTCTTTGGCATCTTGGTATCTCACTATGAAGCTACAAGGTCTCTAAAACTACACCTAATCATGGGATGCATTCASCTAGCACAGGACAGAATTTCTCTCATAGCTTCAAAACTGAATACTCCAATGAACAGGCAGAAAACCATAATTTCCAACAAAACGAAGACAAAAGCTGACCTTTCAGTGGTTTTCCCACTTAATCCATCCACAACCTCCAGGGATGCATCTGACAATGTCCAATTCAAACTAAGTGACCACTGGTTTAAATCTGTTTGGATTGGCAGTGCAGCTTTCACCAAGTAAATATGAGATCTGTTGACCAGATAGGGCACAGGAAGCTTTGATATCAGTTCATCATCAAGACGCTGCTTTATAGTTATGTCCAGTCCTTTTGTATCCTTACAACTTCCATTTCCTAGTAAAGAGAACAAGATCAGTCACATATAAGTAAACAGAATTTAAATATGTTAATAATTCAGATGTTTCTGCATTCTTACAAATTATATTATAGTAATCCTTTCACATAAAAGTAATCTTTGGAAAAATGAGTTCCAATATTCAATTAGCAGAACAAAAATTATTTCACGTTTTCTTCTACCGCGCCATTATTTTCACTGGATGCCTTTGTTTTTTGAACCATAGTTTTTCATCAACTCTATGTTCCCTGCAGAAGACATCACTAAAATAGAGCTTCAATATCCCAGATTAGGAAATACGCTAAGGAGTTTGCCCACATTACTCCACATCCAACAGCATTTCTGAATGCCTGCTAAATAAACCTACTTTATTCCACTGCATGTGAAGGAACGATATTTTTTGTAAATTCTTTAAGTAATTCTTTAAGGAATTCCTGGGTTACTTCACTTTTTATAACATGTAATCAAACTGGAACATAAAGACATACGAACCCCCCACCGGAATTTGCATGGAACATACCCACAAGAATGTTGTTGATGTACATGGGTTCAATGAAGTGGCTCAGCAAGGCTCCCTGAAGACCAACCACCTCCCACTTGGTCAGTTTGTCACCACCTGACATGCTGCTCACTCGGACAGTCTTGGGGGGACAGCAAACAGCCAGGTAAATCCTGCCTTCTACAGCAACRTGCAGACTCAGCTCCTCACTGGCTTCATAAGCAGATATAGACTGGGGACCGAGATGCCTACAGCAGGACAAGAGAAYGGATTTCAGAGAGAAAGCACTCTGGTCAGAGATTACAATAAGTGGTATTTAATGCTGTTTCTAAGAAAAAAATAATTAATAGATCTGGGCCTTAATATGTGTTATCTTCAATGTTTGCAATTCTTAGAAACACCTGATTCAGCTGCTCAAGTGCCTAGAATACTGAAATCAGTACTGATATAGGAAATAGTCACTCAACCTAATCTTAGCCACCAGTTACGCACACACAAAAACGATCAGCTGCAAACAGTCACTTTGCATCTACTACTCATACTATAACAGAAGTTAATTGTGAAAAAGCAGCTGTAATGTTATTAAACTCTCCTTTAAAACATAAATTACATTGCAATTCTTCAAAATCTTTAAAACAAGACAATAAAAAGCATAAGGGAGACAAACTGGTGGTTGTAATGAAGCCGAACCTTTTGTTTCAATTTGAGGCTTTTTATACTCCAATTTTGTGGTGCAAAAAATGAAACTTAACTCAGCACATCCACTTGCTCAGTGGTTAATTTCCTGATTTATTAGTATTTTAATACTATCTTGGGAATAGGACTGAGAGGTTATTCTGTGTAATAAACAAAATCTCATCCTATAAGCCCTGAAAAAAGTCTTTTGTACCATACTGAGCTGTATCTTGTATTTATTGCTACTACCCTGTACATTAATGCTCCCAAAACAAGATAAAAATTAATCTTCCACTATCTGGAAATACCATAGTACTTACACCTCTGATTTGAACTGCGCAGTTCCCTTYGGAAGCTGGTTCATGTAGAGAGAAAGGGTTATATTCTGCTTGAGGGTAAGCAGCTTTGAGCCTGGTGCTGTGCAAAATATGGATCTCTCTGCTTTGGCTGGGTTTTTATTATAGAACAGCAAAAGATGTCTGTACAAGTATCTAAAAGAAAAAGAAATTACAATAACATATGAAGTATTTTATATAATCTACGTATATGTTTACATTTTTATTATTTACTAGTTCATGTAACTATAAAATGCAAGTGCMAAGTACAATTGAGAACAGCAAGGGAACTACGTGTAGACACATTCTCACCTAAGCAGGGAACGCCTTGCAGTGACAATGGCGTGGCTGTCGTGCAAGAGCCTTCCACAGCACTCAAAGCGCCGGCTGTAGTTGCATTCTCCAGTCCCCAGGGCTACCACTTCATGCTGCCCACCTAAAAACAGATTGTGKGGGGTTCACCTGGCCTGGCTGCCCACCAAGCTGCTCCCACACTCTCAGCACTCTGTTGGGCACAGGTTTCCCCACTCCCCAAAACTCAGAACCAAACAAGACTTACCTTTTTCAATGATGAAGGCAGCCAGGGATCTGCCACAGCTTTGGTACTGAGGGTGTTGGGCAGTCAGGCGGTTAAACACTTCTTCAAGCATTTGGGAGAGTTTTTGATAGGTATGTTCTCCTCCTAAATGAAACAGCAGAAGCCAGCAACACACAAATTTGCAGCAAGGGGGAAAAACAGGAGCAACTTACCAAACTATAAGCACAAAACGTACTTTAGGGATTCTGAAAATGATCAGGATTTTAAAAAGCACAAGAACACCTAAACACTTAACRCTTTTATCATTAATTTTAATAACAACAGGATATAGCCCAAGTCTGATCACCTACTGAACAGCAGTTCAAGTAAGGACAGAGAATACTGATTCTATCACCTGAACTGGTGATAGAAATTCAAGCAATTTCAATAAGTTGTGTCCATTTGTAGAACTGACCTAGTGATACTCGTTCTTACAGCCTTCTTCGAAGAGAAGATGTTTAAAATAATAGAAACAACAGAGATATCACTAAATGTATTAAAGGAAGATATAAAAAGAAATTACACTCTTGGCAATTTGAATCAACAGAGAAAGACCAAGACTACTCCTTACCAGTCCTCGAAACACAAGCAGAGTTTGCTGGAGTTCGGAGCTCAGCAGGAATACAGGAAAAATCTAAGAATTYAACAAAATTTTAAAGTGGGATGGGCATTCCTAGTTTATAGACGTGTATCTCACACTATCTCCAGCAAGGCAAATTTTTCTAATTCTCTAAGAATTTTCTGTCTCGATTCTGAAATCCTTGTAAGCTTAGAACTATCTAGACAGCAAAATTCAAAAGAARACAAAATATTATGGTAACTGAATTCTGTTGAAAGTAGTAACTCAGTGGGGAACCCTCTTACTCACAAAAATTCAAACCCACTTGAGATGTACTTCATGTTGCTGTACCTAGTGAGTAGCAAATCAAGTGCAACAACAACAGATGAATTCCTTCAGTATTCTTGGCTCTGTGCTACCAGTTGATGCAACTCTTCATACACAAATGACAAAGATTAAAAAACCATTTTCAGAGCCCAACCACAGGTTCGCCCCAAGAATTCAAAAAAAACCTGACAAAGGCCCTGATACTGCAGCATTTAATAAAATCACAGAGATTTTGCAMAGCAAACTGTTAAGCCAAGCTTTCCAAGTTCTAATTAGGTGTTGCTAAAATATTTACCTGAATCTTCAATAGGCTTTGCCCCTGTATTCTCCAAGTTAAGTAGCTCAGCAAGAGCCAGTTTAGCTGCATTTAATTTAGATTCCTTCTTGTTCTTTCCCARCCCAGTTTTGTAGCAAACACCATTTATCACAGCACAAAAGGCAAAATAAGGCCTGATGACATCACCTTTAAAGGAGGATAGAAAAGCAGATGCAATCAGTGAAATTATTTTGAGGCACTTTATCCATAACTTTATGTCTTTACATTAATTTCATAGAATAACTACAAAACAAAAAGACAGTTTTGGTAAAACACAACTCTCATCTTGCACATCCCCAAAAATTTTACTTGGGCTTTCACTTTATGCACTTTTCAAAGTTCTGGTAACAGCCACAATTCCATATAATYCACCTGACCAACTTCTGTGGCACTTCATAAGAAACAGCTGTGAAGGCAACAGCMGGGCAGCCAAAAAGCAACATAGGTGGGGGGCAGTGCAATCAACAGTAAAAAGGTTCAGCTGTATCAGWGCCATCAAATACTAACTGCAGGTTAATCTCAAGGGCAAGCAAATGTTACTTTATTAGGTCACAAAATTATTTACCTGCCACACTTGTTTCTTTCAATTCAAGCTGCATGTGGTGTATTTTGGCAAACAATTGCAAAGCAGATACTGAGTTTATTACTCCCTGTTTGTATCTTTCAATCAAATCCAAGTCTTTCTGTGAAGGGAGGGCTGAAAATGGGGCCTTGTCTGCTCCTTTCAAAAGAAAAGGTCCTTAACAAAACAAAATTACGAGAGAACTGAAACACACTCTATGAAAAACTTGTTATAAAAATGCTTTTCAGATGCTTTTTGAAAGAAAAAAATTTACTGTAAAGCACTGTTTCTTTGTACTGAACACTGTATTAACAATAACAATTCCAAAACCGTGCGTACATCCTCTTTTAAACGCATCCCTTTACTTGGAGCGGTAAATCCAGAAATCTCTGAGTATAAACAAGTTTTACAAAAACAATACAACATATACCCCCCTCCCCTCTTTCGTAAATCAACAATCAAATCAAAATTGTTAATGGCAGATTACAAACAGTGGAGTCTGTGTTTTTCCCACACGAACTCCTGCAGCAGTGAGACTCCCTGCAGTAAGACACTATAAAAGTTTCAGAACCACTAGCTGGATAAAATCAGCTTCAGGGGTGCGATATACTCTGGCATAAGCACGTGCCAGCCAAGAACTAAAACAGGTGCCTTGACCCAACACAACTATTCAAGGTGATGGAATTCAAAATACAACCTGGGACATCTGGAAGTGCAGTTAACACTCTTCTCAATGTTATTTATGAAAACTCATGCAGCAGAACATACTCCGGTATTTTATCAATCTACAATACTTTAAATGTTTAACTTGAATTTTATGATTAAGTAATACTGCAGACTGCATAGGCCACCCTGCAACAAATGGCTAACAACCTTCCAGCACAAAAAGACTTCAGAGGACGAACAAGACTAAGGAGATGCTAAAGAAGTCATTTAAGAAGACACAGCGATAAGAAAAAACAGCAGAGGGKGGCAAAATTACTTTCAATAGCATTAACAGCTAATCCCGTCATATAAACTGGAAACTATACCTGGATTTTTCATCACCCCCGGTTCACTGCAGCTGATAGAATGTGGAGGATTCAGCCTTGCAGTTACAGGCTCGGAGAGTTCCTTCGAAATTTGCTGCCTGAGACACTCGAGTGACCAAATCTTCTCAGAYGTGGGGTCGAAGCTGAGCATTGCTCCACCCTCAAACCAGCTAAGGCCGCTCGCCATTTTCGCCGGCCTAAGGAAACTTCACACTAATGTTCCGAATCGAAAAGAAACCCTGCCAAAAACACCCTACAGCTCTACTAGTTGAGTTGTTCCACAAGAACACCATGAACAACTCACTCAGGCTGGAGTAGAACCCAGACCCGCCGTCCTTCCCCGCAGAGTTCTTCTCCCTTTTGTTAAATCACCTTCCCTCACGAGGCTCCGTCCCTTCTCGAATCACCAATTCCCCAAGCCGATCTTGAGGGAGTGAGGTGAACTAAAGCAGCAAATGATCCCTCCCAAGCTTCCAGGTCGAGCTGGCCCTCGGATTGAAAGGTTTGGTACCTGAACCTGCCGGCCTCGTCCGGCTGTGGAGTGCTCCTCAGCGCTTACACCCGGCGGGCCAGCGGAGCAATGCCTGAGGCGAAGCGAAGATGAAGGAGCCGGAAAAGTGCCAACAGCCCTAAGGAGATGGACTCCGAGGCCGAGCAGCCCTCAGGGCTCTGCCCGCCAGCCATTTAATGACGGACCCGTCTTGATGACCGGGCGGGGCCAAGGCGCGAAGTCGCACCTGTGACTGAGGGAGGAGCTGAGGGAGG